GACGGTTGGGGAACAGCTTCGGTCTGCAACATCTAACATTTTTCACTGGTCAAGATGATTAAGAAGTGCGTTAATATAGGCGCAGATTCACAGGGAGGGAAATAAGATAAATCTCCTCCCCCTCCCAAAAAATAAACCATTTCTGTAACTATTAATTTTAACTTGTCACAAAACTTTCAAGCAAACATATTTTCAAATAATTACTAATATGAATAAAATTGTATAGAAGCATGAGCTGAGTTAAGTCTGCGTCATTCTACATAATCTACAATATATAACTACATATACCATATATAACCCCCCCCCCAATTTGTCCCTGGCATCAACCCTTGTTAATCCCAAGTTCATCAAACAGCACACGATGAGTAACTTGTTCTATCAGGACACTCAACACAGAAAAAAATCACTGTCCTATAGCGGGTAACAGAAAATGAATTGTATACCAAAATCAGTTACAAGATGTGGATCAGAAAGACTAGTATTTTTATGCAGCATAAACCGCAAAAATACGTCGTTCAAAAAGCAGTAAAATGTACAAAATATGAAAAAATATGCAGATAATGTTTGCCTAGGGAAAAAGGAAATCATATATGCAACCGATACCAACCTGAAGACAACCGGAAAAGAAAAGTGATACAAAAGTGAGCTAAGGAGCAACGAACGAATTCTACGAAATTAATGTTTAAAGACTATGATAATTGCGAAAGTTAATTTTTTAGCCTCTTTCTACAACAACATTAAAGATATATATTTTTATCTTAATAATCAGATGTTCAAGGGTAGATCTTGAAATAAGATCATGAACAATTTATCAGAAATGTGAGTAGTTTTCGCAAAATTTTGCAAGAAGTAGAAGCAATTTGTATACAATTTATTTCTCAAAAACGAGTCGAAATTCCTTTATTTTTTTAGCGTGAATGTGTCAAAGGTCGGTGAAAATTGGTGTGGGTTCCATTTTTGTACAATAAGTAGTTTAGGAAATTGAAAAAAATAAGTACGTAATTGATAATGATTTTTTGCAAAATAGAACCAGATCTAAAAATTTCAATCGATTCTACAGATCGAGTAGTTTTAAGATAAATTCTATTTTAAGTTAAAGCAACTTATAATTTGATCTCAAAAACTCTTATTTGAGATATTATTTTTTTAATGTCGCTTTCTATCAACTTGGTCATATAGCGACCACTGTGATTGTTTTAATTGTAGGGGGATCTATAGGAAGAACACGCAAGAATACACAAAAATCCATGGCCGGGAGGGATCAGAATCCGCCACCCTTCGAACCGAGGAACCTACAGCCCTTCAGCCTCAGTAACCTCCGCTATCAATGATGGCCTCGATTATTTTTCTTTTCAGCTTGTAGAGCAAATGACGCTTTGAAATGATGCAGGTCTCATTTTCGTTGATATCTCTAAATTTTCGAAAATTGCTAAGTTAGAAATAATGCTAGGAAATACGTGGGTTTTTAGCTCCACTAGCTACCCCTTAAAAGAATGAGAGGGCTCGGGTTAATACGACCCTTAACACGGCGGGGACAGGAACGTGGGATGGTTCAAAGCCTCAATGCCTATTACAAGAACGAATATTTTGACACCACGAGCTCTGAAAAGTCTAGAATCAACATTTGCTCGATTCGATATCTCGCGCCTCCGGCAATTACAAGATATGTCACTATCAAGCATGGTTAAAGAAACATTAATATTCAGTAAAACATGCTCACTGCGTAACGTATACAACGCGGAAATCTGTGTAATAAGAACATGAATCGAGGTCCAGGCAAACATAAACTCTACCTTATTACATTAACTAATCTTGTCTAATACGGAAAAAATATATTGGTCCATTGAGCTTCCACATTGAGCAAGTTTTACTGTACTTGAAAATTACAAGAATTAATGTCATTTTGTTTTCAGTTGAAGTAAATATTTTTCTACTCAAGAATGATGTGTCGTTTGTCAGTGTTGTTGACAATATTTTACGAAAAACATTGCCGAGAAGTTCGAGCAATGTTCAAGAAGGTTGGACTCTTTGAGAGCCTTTCGATTGTGGTATTTGCGTTCTCATGAGAAGCTGAACGGAAGGAAACAGCATGACTTACCACCGATTGAATAACGTTATCGTCTGTTTACACACAACAAGATTGCTGAATCTTCTCAACCTAGACAAGTTAGGAGATAGATTTTGTGCAGCTACGCCCCGTCGCAGAACATTTGTTGGTCCAATGTAGGTTGTAAGTGATGTAAGTTTTAACATAATTCAGTTTTGCTTGTCACACTAGCGATCTGCAGAAGCCAAAGTAGGTACTGCTGAACAAAACACAATATAGTCTTCTAAAAATAGCCCGTACATTGCTCGATAACAAATACAATACTGTGGTATAATACTACAATACAATTAATACTTTAATAGAAACAACAACACTACAATAAATTATAAAATTTAAGAAAATCAAACTTCATGAATACTGCAATAACGTAGTAAAGTACATACGGATACAGAACAGTTCTTTACAGATCAAAAAAATTGTTGTTCCGTAAGTCAAAAGGCGAATAGCGAATATTTTATTGTGGGTGGGTGGTCGATTTATTTGAGCCTCGTAGCCGTATGACTGCAGCTATGTCGAACACTTTGAAACGAGAAATTAGTCGGTACGCGTAGTATGAGGATAGGCGATGTAACACAATCAAGTATTTGCATTTCTCAGCCAAAATCGAAACTATTTTTTTATTATCGTTTGTTTGTTTTCTGCGAGTTTAGGGATATCTAACAAAACTACATACACCTCTCCAAAATGGCTGGAAGTTGCATAGTTTCGTTTCCATTTCTGTGCGCATTAAAATAAGTAGAAGGGGATTTTTTTTGTTCAAGAGTTTTCTAGTTTATCATTAAGATGTATTATTGAATTCATAAATAGCTTCGACACAACTTAGTCTTCTTCACTCTAACGGGTGTACCTTATTTACTTTCAAAAATCAGTAAAAAAGTAAAGCCAAAACAAAATTTTCCGGAGTTCCGAGCATTTTAAAAAATTCCTTCGATGTTCCTCCAGCCGAAGTTGTTCCTAGCTGATGACAGCAGATGATGATACTCGTATATCCCTGATAATGAATGTTTAGTTATACTCCACGGGCGATGTAAGGGTTCTAATGATCGAGCGGCGATGAAAAGCCAGAGGACCTTCAAAGAGCATTTGCCGCCAATATCATCAGAACCTTTTAACGCCCGTGGTACATACAAGATATACTTTTAGCATAATTTAATAATCCAGATGTACATATTTACTAATTAACGAGCAGTATCCTGACTGGGTTCGTCTTTTCATATTTCCCTCCCATAATTACCATGATAACAGAATATGTAGAATCATTCATTTTCGTATTTCCTTCGTAAACACGATCCTCTCGATTCAGGTACGTTACGGAGTGTATATCGAGTATATTGAAGGAAACTACAAGCAATAACGTATCAGAGAAAAAAAAAATTTCCCTTCTCTTGCTCCTAGCCACAAAAACAAATGCTACGAACATGGTGACATAAATGAGAATTAATATTTCACTTGTTACCGTACCTTATCAATAAATTGCGATGCAGAAGAGTTAACGCAGACATTTTTAGAATTTTCTGTTGACATCGAGAAGATAGTTAATGTGAGCGGTTATTGTACTGACTTCCCCCAATTTTTTTTTTTTCAATTTAATTTATTTTACTTTTTATTTCAATTTAATTTAATTTATAGTAAAACTATCAATAAAATTATGAATGAACATGAATTCTACTTGAATTTTAGTAAGCATTATTTCCATATACTAAAAGTTGCATAGCTTCATTACCATGAAATGTTTTCAATAGAAAAACTATAGTACTGAATGAGACAAATCAGCTTAAATTTATCTTTCAAGAAGTCTTTGTATAGAAGACCGCATCTGACAAAATTTATTTATTTTTACGTCGGTGTGTAGCAGATGAACTGCATCACCTTTCCCACTCAAGAATTTTTATTCGAACTCTGACTTCAGAGTTATAATTTCTTTACTTGTTTACCACGGAGGATGGCTCCATAAGGTCTCGGGGTCACAAGGCAGTAGAAGCGTGGCTGCAGTAGAGCCACCGGTTTCTGATCCTATCTCAAGAGTTACGTAACCATCAAGTGACGACTTCTAGAAATGAAACTCGCGTTCCAAGTTTCCATCGCCATTCTTGTTTCAAAAAGCGAACAGAAATGTCGTGAAAAGTTCGTCGAGTTCAAAAATGCGACGAATCAGACCCCGCACATGATTAATATCTAATGGCGCGATTTGCGTGACCGGACATTGAGCCCCCTAATACCACTGAAGGATTAAACGTATGAAATCAAAACAAATAAGAAATTATAATTATAGGGCATTAATTATTTTTCAATAAAAACACGAGCATTAGCTAGCAAGTAGTAATTACGAGTTTTAGAAAAATACGCATTATAATTTCGACGTTTGAAACATGTATATTATTATTCAATATTCAACAGTTCTATTGTTTACATTATTGTTCTGCAATAATCAATGAAAGAGATATTTAAAACAATAAAATAGTTAATAAAGCAGTTCTTAATGTTGCACACATGAAAAATAATTAACATTGTTATTCAGAAATCACTGGGGACCGTAAGCATGTGCTTGTGTCCGAATCCACCGCCGTTAGCACGAAAAGAATTAATTATTTTCGAATAAAAACACGAGCATCGGCTAGTAATAGTAATCACGAGTTTTGGAAAAATACGCACGTTCGTTTCAACATTTGGAACATGAATTCTATTGTTTACATTATTGTTCTGTAACAATGGAAGAGATATTTTTAAAACAATAGAATAGTTAACAAAGTTCTCAATGCTGCATAAATGTGAACTAATCAATTTTGTTATTTAGAAAGCACTATGGACCGAGCGCACGCGCACCGCTAACACGGAAGTTCGAGCGCGGCGCTGCACGTGCAAACCAAGGGCAGTCGGCCACGTGCGCACTTACTTCCCGGTCCGCCTCCGAAGAGTCCGGCGCCTCGTCCATGTCGGGCCGTGTGGGGCGCGGGCCACAGAGCAGGTGGCGGGCGGCAGGTGCGGCCGTACGAAGTGGCTCCGGTTAGGCCCAGCGCTCTGCACCAGGCCAACCTGCGCGCGCGGGGGCAGATAATACACTCTCAGCCCAGGACAGCCGTGCGCGCGCAGCCGCCGTCGCGGCCAAGGTCCCGCGCTGCGCCGCAAGCGGACGGCTGCAGATAGCGCCCTCAGCCGGGCAATGGCAGATTCGTGGCCCCCACCCCACGCAAGACCTAGAATTTTCGTTTATTACCTTGCCTTATTCGTCAATATTTGTCAAAATTGATTTAAATATTTATAAATATTCATTTATGTTAGAATTATAGAAACTAAACAAGATTGTATAGTACCATAATAAATACAGTACATAAATAATATATAATAAATTACAAAGACGTCTATAATTTAACAAAAAATCTACGTCTCCCCCCCCCCACACACACACACATCATGCAGTGGATCCGCCTCTGCCACGAGACCAAAAAAATGCCCGACATATTTTTCCTTTTTTTTCTGCGCTACTAAAACATTTCTGGAAGCATTTCGAGGGGGGAAACTTGGTTTTTTTCTATTAATATCAATGTAAATAAAATAAAATCTTCCACCTCACCTATTCCAAGGTAGGTCCCCCTTTTGGCGTCCCATCGACTGCACGAATTACTGTGGCTCGGATTCTGATGACCTAACAATTCTTAGAAAATTGCCTATAAAATGACTTAAAAATTAAGGGGAAAATGACCTATTTAAAAAAATACTCAAAAACTTGTACGAAAGTGTTTATTTATTCAATGAATTTTACAATTTTACATAAAATTTATTTATATAAAATTATATGTAATTCAAGGTTTTTATTTTAGGAAGAAATGTAATCCTTAGTTCCAACCTTCCAACCGTTGGGTTTGAAAAGTCTAGGAAGATCCGTTGTATTTTTGAGAGTTTGAAAAACAAAGTCCACTGCAGTAGTGAATTTCGTCATGAACTGATATGCCATGATATAGTATAAACTTTGTTTCAGCATGTCATTGTAAATTCATGAAACATTCATTAACAAAAAACCCGAAAAGGATGAAAAAGACAGAGGGCGAAAACAATGACATAAAAATTGAAAATGGCAAAAAATGACCCAATAACTACACATTTCTGTCACCTTTATGTCGTGATAAACCTTCGTTTTCAAGTCAGCTACCTCTAGAATGCATCAATGAAGAGATGACATGTCATCAGTATCCGAGCCCTAGTTATTATATGTCTGTTAAAATAGTTTCTTATAGTAAAGTAATATAAAGTTGAACAATGTTTATTATTCTTTTTATTTTAACAAAATGTTTCAACCCTTGGTTTCAGTTTTCATCACATAAAAAGCTTTGATAATACAATACAAATGTAAATATTATTTTCTACGTCTTCAAAGGTAAACCCAAAACAAGGGTGGAATGACTTAACATTGAAACTACCCTTGCTACAACACCACATACTTTCACGCGTTATTTGAAATAGTTATGTAATATTGATTTTTTTTCGTATGGCAGAAATTGTCATTACTGCTTCACTAAAAATTCAGTTTTAACTTGAAAAAGTACAATTCAACAAATTGAAAGGGGGTTCGAAGACCCTCCACAAAGTTCGAGCTTCACAAAGGGCGACACACGTTGCTCTTCCAAAACCACTCTCCCACTCGCGACAAAGAGTCTGAAGACACCCCCCTCTGGGACTCCCTCCCCAAAAAGCAAAGAGGCCTCTCGACCTTCATCAAACCGTGCCTCGCGCGCTGGGCACCCGCGCAGCCGTGAAAACTCGGTTTGTCATTGTGTCGCCAATACGCCCTCGCTAATCCTTTGGGAGGAGATGTAATTCTTCACCCAGAGCGCAGATGGCCAGCAGATGTCCCCTCCCCGTCTACCCGTCGTCAACAGAAGATAAAAAATGACAACCTATTGGAACGATAAGATTATGTAAGTCATCAAAGTGGACATTGGGCCCACCAATAGGCATCCACGATTCCATAGAATGTTCTAGAAGTAGCCAAAGAACCAATAGCGGCGTAGAACGACACGTGACCAAAGGGTACTCACATGGAGAGATGCTGTATGAAATCCATTGACAGAGGTTGTCTGAAATCCACCGAGAGAAGCTGTTTTTGATTTTCATCGAACAAAGATGCATTTCTTTTAAATCCTTACATATCTATGACTATTTGGAACCGCAACAAGAAGGCTACAAAGTTTCGCTCCGACGGATGCCATTCTGTCTGGAAACGGTGCATTATTTAGAACTTTTATCAAGCGAAATAATCACGTCAACGAAATTTATTCCATTCTGCGGACGAAAGCCAGGACGAAAGTCAGGACACGAGGAAAAGCGCTTGTCGCGGTGAGCCACCTGCCGCGACGTGCATTCCGACGCGGGTAGAGTGACGTATGACGGCTCTACGCAGCGAGAAAGAACCCTTTTTCTTTATCGATACAAGAGCGAGGGCCTTCAATCTCATCATCGGCGACTGCTCCATTACAACGCAAGCGCACGTCAGCCCTTCGACTTGCGACGCCGCCACTCCTCTAGCAGCATCGCCTGGCGATTTGAGCGCTAATCCATAACGGCGACGAGCAATTCTCTACAGCGAGGTGACCCAAAATTTGGCACCGTAGTCCCAAGTCCAGAATTAAAAGACTAACGCTAGTGGGCAATGAAGGGGATTGCGTAGTCAAGCCCCTTCAAAGCAATTAAATGTCCATGATATAAAATAGTATCATTTTGAAAAAATGTGAGCCCGCAATTCTGACGGACAACACTTAAACATTCAATTCGAAATGTTTTTATTTAATTAATAAGTTAAAAGCAAGCGCATTATCTCGACCCAGAGCGACTCACCCCGTGAGATCTCCAGATCTGGCAGGGGGAAGGTAGGTGTCGCCCTTGTTCGGTACCTCTACGTCACCGGCGTATTCCGACAGGCTGGTCTGTCACTATATATATATATATATATATATATATATATATATATATATATATATATATATATATAATATATAATATGTCTAAAACGGTACCTATATTAGCCGGAAACCTGCCTTAACCGGAAAGTACCTAAGCTCGTGAAGTTAATATTACTTTGAAGCGGAACGGAATCTGTCCAACGCGAAAACGAAACAGTTTTCCATGTTCTGGGGGGGGGGAAACCTGCATAAAACAAAATGTCTGCGTATATACTGCAATTGGCAGGTTGACGCGAGATTGTCATCATGGAATGAACGCATCTGCAAGTCTGTTTTAGTTTCTCTGTCCCAGAGATAAGTTTGTCGTGGTAGGGGCACAGTGAAGGCTAGGAGCTTCAGTTGTAAGCGTATAATTCGACCTTGGGGTCGCTTGTCTCTCAAGGAGAAGGCCCTAGGGGAATTCCGTCTCTCTGAGCGTGGAAAGGGAATGGGCGTGCCTTGTTTTCACGCACCTACCGGCCCCGCGTTGATAATAGAATGGCGTCATACGGGTGTAATCGAACACAGACGAGAGTGGTTTGTAAAACAGTAGATTTATTCACAATCTAGACCGTAGTCTCAATTTAACAACTACCCTGCTCACAGAAAACTAAATAATAAACCCACTACAAGGAGAGATAATTTTAAGAACGGCTACCACACCGCAACATACCACCGATGTCCCTGTATGAAGCCGCTCTACTTGAGACAATCTACGCGTCTCGCAAGTCACGACATTGAATTGCCGGCCCCTCGCCCAGTGCACCTACACGCCCAGACACGCGCTTCACCTGTCGCCGACGCCGCGCTAGAACAAGAAGACTGGGGCATTGTTCTCCTGGTCTTATTTATAGGCCCTTTGCGCTACACGCCGCCCCATTGCTTCCTCCCCAACCACTCTAGGCCCGCTACGACCACGGAAAGTCCCAGTGTGTCATCACTGTGGCCTTTGTTTAACATCCGGGGATGCTCGCCGATTTCCACGTGGTTCTGTTTTGAGGGTGGCACGACGCTACAATAGTAGCTCGTCGTGTGAGTCGAATTGTTCAAGGCCATGCGAGGATATCAGAAAGCCAGTACTCTGGGTTATGACGCATTGGGCGTTGAAAGATTCATCGAGCTGACCGGGTGCAGTCACAGACAGTGAGATGTTGCGTTTTTATGCGTTTCACGACCAGTTTAACAAATGTTAAAAAAACAGAAAACTATAAATATTAAAATTTTCAATTTTAGAAAACATTATTGAAAAGATGCTAGTAAGTGATAAAATCAAAAAACTGTAAATGAATGTTGGAAAAAATAATATTATTTTAATTCACAAATTGTGAATTTTTTTCCTTTTAATTGTCAGATATAAGTTGTGATTCCTTCCATGAATATATTATATGTTAATGTAGTTTTATAATTATAATAAAGTCATGTAATTGACCATTCAGTATGGAAATATCAATAAATGTCATAAAATAAATACCTACATAAAACGGAAACCTCCTTAAACCGGAATAATATTTTGTCCCGATCGATTCCGGTTTTGACAGATTTTGCAGTATACACAATCCCTTGCAAAATGATATATGGAAGACACAGATACATTGTAAAATTTACAGTGACAACAGACAGACTAGTGTTATTCATAGTATAGGTCTAATGAAAACTGTTACTATGTCATATTGAAAATTACTCTCATAGAGAAGAGATAAAAATTATGAAATTTTTTGATATTTTACTTAGTCAATCAGTTTGTTGAGCTCTAGACATAAACATGGTGATTAGTTATTTTTCAATAAATAATATTAATTTTAAAACGCGTTTAGAATCTCTTCTAAAAAAGTGGGCAAATTAGACTTCATCCCCCATAAAACTTTAAAAAAGTGGCAAACATTTAAAATCATCCAAAAATAGCTAAAAATGTAGAAAATTATTCGAAAATACTCCGAACAATGCAGCCAAGTCGAGTCGATTCCTTCTCAAACCGCCCGAAAATACATTTCAAATTAGTGGTGCAACAATATGGCACAGACTTTCTCATAGTAAAGTTTACTGATTTCCTTGGTATGGGCTAGCTATATGGACGTGCCACAACCTCTTGCCAGCTGCCATCTATCGCTGCCCAAAAATACAATTTTTTTTTTTACTTCTCTCACTTTTTCGGTTTCCTAATGGTAGATTCAAAATATTATTTTCAGAATATGAAAGAAGAATTAAACCTCGTCCTACAGGGAAGTT